CTCTCTCTCTCTCTCTCTCTCTAACTTGGCAATATGAAATGAACTACAGACAAATTCTTATGTGTCATTTTCTATCTCATTAAGATGAAATTAATTAAAACCAAATTCTTTCCCCACTCTCTCTCTCTTGGGGTATGACAAATGAATTGAAACCAAATTTTATCCATTTTTTAAAGAATATTTTTGCGAAGAAAGCACTATCTCTTAAGGGGTGCTTGTTTGCAAAGAAAGCTTTCAAGGCATTTTCCCTTGACATATTTTCCCTCTTTTGTTTCAAGGGGAAATGCCCTTGGATTGTACGGAGAGTCGACATTCCCTTCTAGGAGAGGTATACCCCTTCAGCCTTACCAATGTGCATATCTCTCGTGTTTCGCTTTCATTTTACTGGTGGAACAATATCTCTTTCAAGCTCATCCCATTTTTGAAGTCGCATCTCTTTCTCTTTCTTTTATCTTTGATCGCTCTATCTCTCTTATGTTACAGGGAAGAACCGTTGAAAGATCTTTCTCTCAATCTCTACTCTGCATCAATCTCTCCCATCTCACTAGAATCGTGGATGCCTAGTATGGTGCTCCCCTCTGCCTCTCTCTCTCTCTCTCTCTCTCACTCAATTGACATAGTAAATTTTTCTATTGGGTTTACTGCCAAGCTATTTTATATAGTAATCAAAATTTAAATAAAATTTTTTTGGTGTCACAAAGTAAATCTATAGATCAAGCTTTTACCCATTTATAGAGTAAATCTTTAAACCGAGCTTTCTCTCATATGCAGATTTACTTGTTAAACCAAGCTTTCCCCCTTGATTTACTGTATAGTGGCTCCTCTCTCTCGTGATTGACTTTTGTAATTTTTTCTACTGAGTTTACTGTAAAGCTATATTTTTACATAGTGATCAAGCTTTATATAGTTATTTTACAGAGTTACGACGTAAATATACAAATCAAGCTTCCACCATTTTATGCAGTAAATCTCTAAATTAAACTTTCTCTCATGTTCAAATTTACTTGGTAAATGAAACTTTCCTCTTGTACCCTGAGTTAATGGATTTGAATACTCTCTTGCCTTTCTATATTCTGTATATCAAACCTGTTTTTCAAGCATATACATTGTTGTATACTAGTTGTCAATCTAGATTTGAAACCATGTAATTCAAATTAAATATGCATTATTTGCCTGCATATTTGGATAGTTTTATGGATTTTCTCTTTGAAATTTTATGGGGACAGTTTACACTTTATTATGGTTGTGTTGCAAAACTTTTTCTATTTATTTGGGTTTTCAAGAGAAATTTCACAATGGATTGGATTTTTAATGTCCATGTTTCAATTTTACCGTGTTTTAGATTTCCTTGTGGGATTTAGACCGAGTGAGAAAAGTAGGGATCTTTTGATTCATGAGTTCGGGTGGTGAATGTTGATGTAAAGTTCATCATATATCGAAGGTCTGTTAATTTTTCATAAGGAAATTGGTTTGTTCTTTTATCTAACTAAGAAAAAGGAAATTCCCTTTTTGATTATTATCATTAGCCCAAGTCAAGGTTAATACAGCTGATGTCATCAATATAATGCAATTAGTGATCATATGTTTTGCTTCATTTTGTAGAGAATGAAGCTGATGTCTCCTTTATGGACTTTTCTCGTTTTGTTCTCATGACTGTTTTCTATTTATAAATGAATCTCGTTTCACTTTGATGTTGCTCGTGATTGTTTAGGCTGGTTTTCTTGTTGCTCGTATTTTCTATGTTTCTTACTTTAATCTATATTTTATATTTGAAGTTCTTGATCGTGTAACATAGTGCCTTGAAAAGCTGGATTATGTCAAGACTATATCACCAGTAGTCAATTGAAGTACTCCATCAATGCTTTTAGGGCCTGGGTTGCTCTTAGAACTCCCATGGGTCACTTTGATGGCTCCCATTATTGGTCATAGCCAATTCGATGGGTGTGTATTTTGGGCATATTCCAGGCAATTGATTGCCACTGTCCAGTGAAATCTGCCATCAGGCAAGCCAATATCATCATTTTTTTTTTTGAACCGATTCGTAATGGTCATTGAGTTTGTGGCCAAGCTGGGGAAGATTTGACGGTTTCTCCTCTTCCATAGAGTCCATTAAATGCCACCATTTATGGTCTCCACAATAGTAGGCCCTTTTTAGGTGTCAATGGTAAAAACCATTGCTGAAATAGGGTCTTCTCTTGATAATCGGAACAGATTGAGGAAGATATTTTGAAGTTACTGAGCAGGCGATTGACAGCCCCCTTATCCCTCTTGCACATTATACACTAATTTGTGTTTTGTAGGACTTGATGTTTCAAATGATGTATAGCTAGCACTTTACTTAATAAATCAATAGACAAACAAAGGCCTGGGCCCTAGGTGGGGCTGATCAAATCCAAGCTCCACTTGATGTTGCAGCTAATGAGGGACAGGCTATTAGGCTGAGGTAGATTGATTTTACAATAAGTCACCATCACTATTTGGGTTCTCTAAATTATTATGTCCTCTTCGTTGTTAGTTGCTAGTGTTTTCCTGCAAAGAAGATGGCAATATGGATGTCTCACTGAGGTCCTCATCTTTCAAATCTCATTGGACCAACCCATTAAGCCCTGGCTTTTGGAGGATGTCTCGAATGGTGGATTAACATTGGAGGCAATGTCAGCTAAGGTGAGTTTGCCAGTTTGCTTGTTTGTTTGCATCTTGTATATTTACCATCTCCCAGGCGGAATCTAGTATGTCTCCAAAAATTTTCTTGTATCATACTTATAGTTTTCCATGCTTCCGATGACTGATTCCTGCTGTGTTTTTTTTATCTGTTCAACCCAAATTTCTATTCCATAGCTTGCCCAATATGTGGTGAGGGCAAGAGAATCAAATGATATATACATTTACTAGGATTTGTTGTGGGAATCTGATCTAATAATATTTCCAGGAATCACAATTTCCTAAGAGATGCGAGTGGCTTGCCATGTCGTTTTTGTGTTAATGTCACCTAGCATCTTGGATCAGCCTACTCAATTTCTCATGAAGATGATGACCAGAGTCAAATGTTTGTGTGTTGTTGATAAACTCTTTTGAAGTGATTTTTTTTGTACCTAAATAGAACTTTAATTTTAGGTAGTACAAGATGCTGGATTGGGATAACAAAAAGGATATTCTAGTTTTTATTTTATTTTATTATTATTACTTATGTCAATATTGGAGTGTTGTTGATTTTCAGTTGCAGCTGCATAATTCTATGTGGTTGCATCAAAGTGGTGCGGCCTTTCGCTGCACCATATATAGCTGACTAGATTTTGCAAGATTCGCCAGCCGAGGTGGTGCATAGCCCTCATAAGTGGGCACATAATGCCATGTGATACGCCCCATATGTGGCCTCTAGTCGTTTGAAAACTGAAAATTTTTCTTTGATTTTGAAAATTACAGACCTTTTAGGTTTTTAGTGCAAAACATCCAGTTGATTTTGTGCTATCTTTTGAAGTATTTTGGACAAATATTTTTCGGTTCATCGAGGGTACTAAGAGGCAAGAAGAATAAACCAAGAAATCAAAATTTCTTCCTGTTTTGGGTTTGAGATTGCAACCAAAATCAATTTTCTTGGTATGTCTCATTACACTTATTTACAAACAATGTCTTCATATTCTTCGAGTGACAAAGATCTGACACAAACACATGTGAAACTTCCCTATTGTGGAGACCGAAATAGAGTTTATTGTACACTTCGGAAAACCTTATACGTGGGAATTTATTGGCAAATGGAACATCTTGCTAGTATATGCATGCCTAAAGAGAGTGATGAAATTAGAAGAAAGATCCAAAAACAAACAAAAGTGAGCAATGAAGCATCAAGTGTTGTATGAAGTCTGAATATGAGTTGTATGAAGTCTAAATATTTTTTGTGAAAATAAAGATGATGATGAAGTTGCATCTTGGTCGTAGGAGTTATAAGAGGGAGAGGATGACTGACATTGGCAGTATTGGGCAAAAGCGACCCCATTCGAAGAAAGATCCAAAATCAAACAAAAGAGAGCAATGAAGCATCAAGAGTTGTATGAAGTCTGAATATTTTTTGTGAAAATAAAGATGATGATGAACTTGCATCTGGTTGTAGGAGTTATAAGAGAGACAGAGGATGACTGACATTGGCAGTACTGGGCAAAAGCGACCCCATTAGAAGGGGCTTGCAGTTGGGTGCATTTTTCACCTAGTACCCTGTGGTTGTTGTGGAAGGAAAAGTAATTGTACACGCTACAATTAAAAATCGATAAAAAAGGAAGAAAGGAACAATGTTTTTAAGCACATTGCCAAACAGTTTTACCAAACCTGTGTTCAACTCAATATCATTTGTGTTGATAACTTGAAGTTTATGATAGGCAATTGGACAGTTTGGTCATAGTGGTCTTACATCTAAGAAGCTTAGGGATCCCTTATTGAGAGACATAGTGAAGGACATTAAAAAGATTTTGAATTCCCATAGTGGTGTGGAACAAGTATGGCATCACAATTATGCATGATGATTTGGTTCGGTAGAAGGACGAGCTCAATTATTAATTATTTGGGCAGCAATTAGAATTTTTCTTGAAATTTGATTATATATCGGACCATTCACATGATGCAAATTACTTGTTCAACTTGTTGGATTAGATTGTTGATGAGGTGGGGGAAGAGTATGTGGTACAAATTTTTAAAGACAATGCTGCCAATTGTATACTCTGTATTGGCATCTGTTGGCATTGACGAGAACATAGTTGTTGGAGACGGTAGCAGGATCGGTTCGGGATTCTTCGAACCACCCTATAGTGGAAGCTCCCTGGGGTTAGGATCGGCGTCCGTGCAATGATCAAGACAAGTAACAAGAAATTTGGGTTTATCGTAGTGCGATCCCATGTCAATGGGTTCGATGTTTTGACTAGCAGGAATCTAAGCTCCACTATACATAAAAATGGGGTTGTCAAGAATAACTAGTATGAGTTTCCTTGGTTAAGGAATCGAGGTTTAAGTATGTCATACAACAAGGTTCCTCTTGTTCTGATATCGAGATTTTCAACTATGTTTGGCATATGTTTTAAGTCTTAAGTATCACTCTCGGGATGTGAGTACTCTCTGGGAAAGGGCCAACCACATGAAGATCTTGATTTTGGGAGGGGGGGCAAAGGATGCCCAGGCCTAAGCAGCGACCGCAGTAGGAGCTAGAGTGAAGGTTGGGGGAAGAGATAAACTACGAAAGAATGAGGAAAACTGAGAAGGTCCCAATTGGTGACGGAGACCAAATAATATGATCATGACCCAAGGGGGGTAGGACACAAGCTTGAAGTTCTGCCGCTAAGGTGGCGAAATTTTCAATTTCTATTTCCGTAAGAGCCCTTCTGAAAGTAGGATTCCACGAATAGATAGGTCCAGCCAAGAGCATTTCTTGAGCTATTGTAGCCTCTTGATCTCTAGCCAGAGAGAAGAGATCGGGGAATTTGTCTCTGAAAGGAGTGTGACCTAGCCAAAGGTCATGCCAGAAGAGGATGTGATTTCCCACCCTCGGATGAAATCTGATGTGGAATTTGAAGGTATTGAATGTTGAGCAGATTGACCTCCAAGTACCGAAGGACCTCCGGTTGGACTTGCAATTTTGCGGCCAAGGAGAGGTCGGGAGACGATATTTTTGTTTAAGTATGTCAATCCACTGCTGGTTACTTAAAGTCGACATTCGCCAACTCCATTCACCTAGGCAGCGCCAAATTTTGAGTTCTAAGGTTCTTAATTCCTAGACCTCCCCTTTTTTTGGTCTGGCAAAGTTGGTCCCAAGCAATCAAATGGAATTTGTTACTTGAGTCATCTCTCGACCAGAAGAACCTTCTCATTAACTGTTCGATTCTAGAGCTGACCAGTGCGAGCATGTGAAAAATGGACATTTGGTAGACCGGAATATTGGCAAGAGCGCGTGCCTTTGATTAGAGTTAACCTTCCTCCTAGAGAGAGAAAATGCCCTTTCCAACTGGCAAGTGTGCGATCCACTTTGTCTACAATATGAGACCAAAGTCGTTGTTTAGGTTTGCCTATGCAAAGAGGAAGCCCTAGGTATTTCGACCCCGCAGCCCTAACTATTAATTAGCAAAGTTCGAGAGAGTGGTTGAGTCTACATTGACCCCCATCATTTTGGTTTTGTCGAAGTTAACTTAGAAGCCGGGTGCGTAGTCAAAGCACCTTAGAAATAGAAAGGGGTTGCGAATTTCTTCGAGGTTAGCATTGCAGAAGCACTTTAGAAATAGAAAGAAGTTGCAAAAATCTTCAGGGTTAGCATTGTAGAATATCAAGGTGTCGTCTACGTATTGTAGGTGGGAAATTGTGGGGCCCCGAGGACTGACGGAAAAGCCATGCAGGTGTCCACCGGAGTACATCCTGGACCAGTGGATTACATCTTGGAAATGAACCTACTGAATACCTTGGCTGCAATTGCGAAGAGAAAGGGGGAAAGGGGATCGCCCTGTCTAATGCCTCTTGTTGAAGGAAAATATCCTTTGGGGGTTCCATTAATGAGGATGGAGAAGTGAGGCTGAGAGTAACACGCTCTCATCCAAGTTCTCCACCTAATACCAAAACCCATCCTAGATTGAGTTTTTTCAAGGATGTCCCAGTGTACATGGTCATAAGCCTTTTCCCGGTCGAGTTTGACTACAATACCAAGGACACCGGCTAAGTGTCTAGAGTGAATACATTCATGGGCCACGAGTATTAGCGCGTCACTTGTTCTTAAGGCTAGCGTTTTGCTGGCTGCCATTTGGGAACATGTGGTTCACAAAATGCAATAGGCTGGGGCCAATATAACTCAACTCATAGCCTCCCACTAGTCTGTAATTTTCCCCTCGATCAGATCTTTGTCCTGTGAGGTCAATTCTTTTGGATCACTAAGGCTACAATGGCATGATTGTACCACATGCTGCTTTGATGTTTAAATTCTTCATTTCTTGATTTAAATGACCATCAACTAATTTCTTATTCTTTGAAAAAGTTACTGGAAAAGACTCTGATTTATATTGGTGAAGTTCTTTATGTGACAGCTAGTTCACTCTTTCAAATATAGTGGGTAGAAAGGAGGATATGCTGCATTAGTACTGATGCCTGCTCCTTTTGTTTTTTTGTTATCATCTGCAACATTCTAGGGGTTTCTGGGAAGTGATATACGCTCCAGAATGTCTTTCTTGAATAGTTACATAAATAATTCTTTTGTGAAGGCGCTACCAAAAGGGTATTCGTCTTGACCCGGAACCCAGTGGACTGAAGAAGGCATATTTTGGATTGAAAATTTTTATAAAGAAGACAAAGTGTAAGGTTCATAATTAATTTTCAAGATGCATTCTAAGAGCTGGTCGCAGAGTCCAAACATGTTCTGGAATTAACAGTGTGGTTCATTTGTTTTCCTCAGGCTGTAGAGAATCTAGCTACGCGTAAGTTGCGATTAGCAATACTGCATACCATGTCCATCTTGCTTATCAGATAGCTTTGGGTCTGGCCAGTGAACATTTTAGACCTTCTCTCTTGAGCTGTTGTTGCGCATTTTGAATCTTAACACCTCCAACTTCGCACCCATTTGTAATGGCAATGGAATGGGGAGTAGCAGAGGCTGTTGCTTCATGATAGATAGTGAAAAGAATAGCCAAACTACCATCACATGGGAAGATTGAATATCTCGCAAGCATATTGGTGGTTTAGTTACATGTATTCAAAATTTCTTGTATAGCTTAACACTTCAGTATATTTATTCACTGATTTACAGAATGAACTTACTATAAATTGGATATTAACTCTGTTTACAGTGTATTAAAGCATATATTAACTGATTTACATTATATTGAAATATTGATTTAGGTGGTCATCATGCTGATGGAATGAAACAATCTATCTAAATTAACTAAAGTGTGCATAGCCAGAGCAGCATTTGATTTGGTAACACTCGAATACTATGCTGGCACCTAGATCACTAATTTATTTGCATTTGTTCGGTGGTCACTCTTTGAAACTTCAGACTCAAATTTAGAAGAGTATTTACTATCGCTGTCTATGCGTTGACCTGCAGTGTCAAACATGTTTGCATGCTTATGTTGTGAAGGCACATAATCTCCTGGAAACTTAGAAACCTAGTTTCGAGGGAATGCTTCAATTTGCCACACTATTTTGCCAATGAGAATCTAGAACACCCAATCTTCCACACGTACGTCAATTTTGTGTCTCTTCTGGATTTGCTTTCTCAGAACTCTCCCTGTTTGTTTTTTGATTGATTCTGAATATTTGGTCCGGTTAGTGTCTTGCCTTTATAGGACAATGAACATCTACTTGACAGATAGTGCAAATTTATAAATGTAAATTTCATATTTTATTTGCTTAAAAGATCAATGAATTCTTGCAATTTTAACTGGCTTACCTCTTTTAGCATCTCTCTTAAGGTGCTGAGGGGTGGGTCTCTTCCTTTCTCTACAGTTGCTGAACATGTACACTGGGAGAAGGAACTATTCCATCTCATTCTCATGATAGTCTTTATTCTACTAGTGGTTGGTTTTAGTTATTTCTCTATTTTTTGTTCTTCTAATCAAGAAAATTTTGTTGATATTTTATCAGCATATGAGATCATGATTGATGAACAAAACAAAATTCAAATAATCACGTGAGGGAAGGGAGTTGCAAAGGTGCTTTGCAGATTATAAGGGAGTTAGTTGAGAGATGAAACTGAAATATTACATTAAGCTTCCTAGAATATTACTTGCAGCGATTATTTAATTTAATTTTTGAAAATTTGGTAATATTCATTGTTTCTTCTATAGAAAATATCAAAACTCATAATTGTTGCAATTACATGTAATCTAGTAATAACCATGATATAACTTTCAATTATCTGATTTGCATTCTTGTTCCAGGCTTGTCTAATAATCTAGTAATAACCATTCAATTTGAATAACCATTCAATTTGAACCATAGATATGGTTAAAATGAATCCTCCCCAACAACGAATCATGACCATTCATTTAGTGAATTTCAAAATCTTAGCCTTTACAAACTGAAAATTATTATTATTTTTTTTAATATTATTTATTTAATGCTAATAAAGCCATATAAAAAATTGGAAAAGAAAAAATCTTTCTAAGGCGTAGATCGAAGCATCTTATCAAAATGGATGGCCTATGTTAATTGGGCTTAAAAAATACTTTCTAGGTTCCAGTTTCAATTTTTTTTTTTTTTTTATTGTTCATTACAATGAAAAGAGAGTATATTTACAAATTTGAATCAAACAAATGGCTCTAGCATGGTTTTTGAAGCCGTTGAATGAAATCACTGTTTTATATACATATATATATATATGGGAAAAGCTTTCTATGTTCCCTTACAACATAGAAGTTCTATCCTCATACTCACCATTTGATCTTAGATCCGTCGTTTGAAAGTATTCTATTTTTAGTTTTTTTAATACAATTTTTCTGAATATGAAATTTGGTACTTGTCTTCTCATTGGGGCGCACTTATAAAAAATATTAACAATAATTTTTTGATAAAAAATAATGATCTAAATACCCCTTGAATCTTTCAGGGGTATTTTGGTCATTTTATTTTATTGAAAATATATTTTTTTATATTTTTTGTCATTGCGAGTTTAATAGAGGAATGGATGTCAAAAATTTGGTGTCAAAACAGTTATAGGAAAAAAAGTTAAAAATAAAACAGTGTAGAGACGTGACATTGTGATTGGGGCAATCTTAGCCTTCCATTAAAAAATGGGAAGTTGGATAAAGGGAGGATAAAATATCTATATTGTAGGGGAACATAGAAGGCTTTCCTTTTTTCGCCTACTCCCATCACTGTCCAAAGTTCATCGCGTGGTCTCGATTGTCTGGTAGTGTTTTATTTTTCATTTATTTTCTACAAATCGGAATAGCCTTAAATTTGGAGTGTGTATTCATCACAAATAGATGAATCTTCAAAAATTATCAAACGCATATTTTACAAGAAAAAAATTGATCAAAATACCCTCGAAATGTTTTGGGGGTATTTTGGTCAATTTATTTTTCTCAGATAATTTTTTTTATATTTTTATTAGATGCGTTTCATTAAGATGTACATACTTTTCAAATTTCAGATCCTTTCGATTTGTAAAAACAAAATGAAAAATAAAATATTACCAGACAATCATGATCGCACGATAAAATTTGGACGGTGATGAGAGTAGGCAAAATCATTATTTATTTTCGCCTATAGGCATTGGAAAGACTTTTCCATATATATATGAAAAGAGTGTATGTTTCAAAATTTGAATCAAACAAATGGCTCTAACATGGTTTTTTGAAGTCGTTAAATAAAATCACTTATATATATATATATATATATATATATAGAAAAAGTAGTTCCAACGTCTATAGGACGAAAAATAAAATAGTGTA